TGCTCCAACCATCTGAGCCACAGCGGCCAGGGTATTTAGTCACATTTTCCAAACAGCAGAAGGCTTATATTCTCATCAGGAACTACCGAGGTCCCACAGGGAGGTGGTTACCTGTAAATGGATTAGTTTAAGGGAAAGCCACGCTGACTTGGTTTCCATCTACATTCATTCAGCAAATAAAATGCACACAGTGCTTGGCTGTGGAATGGGCGGACGAGTTGGGATCTTGAGCTCGGGTTGTCAGCGTGTTTGAGGGGAGAGGGAGTCTTACGGATCTTCCGGACAAGAAAAATGCTCTTCCTCTCCACGTTGCTTAGTGAAGAGCAACATCGTATCAGGCCGGGGAATTCTCCTCAGGAAGTCCACAGGGTTTTCTCTTTCTGTTCAAAGGGGCTTCTACAGTTGAGCATATTTATCTTCTGTCTCTCGTGGCTCCTATGAAGTAGGCCACTTTATTTCATTTCTTTGTGTGTGTGTGTGTGTGTGTGTGTGTGTGTCTGTATTTTGTCCTGGTAGAATACTTAGCCTATGTAAATCATCTATTTGCTCATTGCATGATGCTTCACAATGGATTTGTAAGAGGACTAAAACCAAAATATTATTCTTGGGCTTTCCAATGAACCTCAGACTCAAGTCAGGAGAGCCAAAAACTTGCACGGTTTCCCGGGTTAGTTGGGAGAGTAATGGCAGTGACCTTGAAAGGACCGCAGACACTGGCCTTGCTAAAACTCTCACAGCTCAACAGTAACCAAGTAGGGAATCGCTACTTTTGTTTCTCTTGACTAGCTCAAGGACATAGGAAGATATCACATTGCAATTAGGAGTTTTCTTTTCTTTCCCTCTCTTCCTCTCTTTCTTTCTCTCTCCCTCTCTCCCTTGGCCCCAAAAGATTTATCTGTTTTTGGCTTGTGTGTTAGTTGAGTGCCAAGATTGTGTGATGGCGTGAAAGGGTGCAGGTTTTTACCTTAGTCCTAACTGTGTTCAAACTCCATCTCTATCTCTTTTCTGGCAGGAAGTTCTAGGCTCTGGACAGGCTACTAGAGGCTGGCATGCCAGTGGGGTCATGTGGCTGAGGCTGAGGGACTGTGGAGCACACAAAGGTCGGGGAGTAGACCCTAAAAGCCAAAGACAATTGCTGACACTTGGCTGCACTGAGTGTCTGCATGATGAGCTTAGCGGTGGAGGCAGTGAGGACAGCACGTGGGTGCATTACTGCAGCAGACTCTGTGTGTGTCAGCCTCAGAGGTGTTGGGTGAGGCTGTGGCCTTTCAGGAGAGGCTGTGTCCATTGACCTCAGGCGAGGTCCTTAGCTTCTGAGCTTCATTTCCTCTCTGGTGAGGTGAAGACAAGGCCTACCATCCCGAATTCTATGGAGGATGACATGAGATTCTGTATATCAGGCTCTTGTTTCTGACACCTAGCACAGAGGAGGGGCTGTAAGTACTCAAAAAAGGAAAGTGTTCTTACTTATTAACATTAACAGATAACATTATTTTATTTGTGAAAGAATGAGATTTCTTTCTAACATTTTCAATTATAGGAAACTATGTCTAAATGTCAACTTTACCTGCTGTTTAGTCAAGATGGCTGCCTGGCGGTAGGCCAGGGAAAGCACTAGAAGGTGGTCAGGAGACACATGCCTCCTGTTCTGGAGCTGCGGACCCAAAGTTGTAAAACAGCCTCAGGACAGGAACAAGGGCCCTTTCAAAGCCTCCGCTCCCCTGCTCCTCCCTCAGGATGTAGACGCGCTGGCTGGAGCCTGGCCCTCCAGTCCGGCCACCTGGGTCCAGAGCATGTCTCCTCCACTTTTTAATCATGACCGTGAACAACTTTTCCAACTTCTCTAAGCCTCCATTCTTTCCTTATGTAAAATGGGAACAAAACAGTACTTTCTCAAAAGGATTTTTATAAGAATCCAATGGAATAAGTCATACAAAACCCTTAGCACTAAATAAGTTTATTGGGGTAACTGTGGGTATGGCCAAGACAGGGGGTGCCTCTGGGGATTGTACACACAGCATTCCCTTCAGAACGCCAGAATCGGGCCTGTCCACGAATCGTGGCAGAGAAGTACGTGGATGCTAATCTGTCTCACTGTCTAATTTAGGAATGAGGACGGGAAGTCTAAACCTACTGCATCTTTTAGTCCCTTCGGTGCTAGGCCAATCTCGGTGCTCTGTACACACTGTCCGCCATTGATTGGTACCAATCAATCAGTCTTCCCAATTTTTAACTGGGTTGCAGCTATAGCTTGAGTTCAGGAATCAAGAGCTATACAGACATCATCGTGCCAATGCCTCTGACTGTTGTCGGGTGTTCCAGCCAGGCGTTAAAGCCTGGCCTGAGGCCGTGTGTGGAGATTTGAACCCTGGGCTACCAGTCATTAGATGTTAGGTGTGGGGTCTCCAGGGAGTTACTTAACCACTCCGTGCCTCAGTTTCCTATCAGTACAACAGGATTGGTGGTGATAATAGCTCCTAGCTCCTAGGGTTATGGTGAGGATTGTGTGAATTAGTCTCTGTTACACACCTGGAGTGCTATCTGGAGCAGCCTTGGCCTCCAGGCCTGCCGTGGCCCCAGCTCTGCTGTTCTGAACCCCATGTCCACAGAATGATCTCAGAGAGCTTTGGGGAGACAAGCAGGTCCATGCAGATCTGGTTCTGGCTTATGTCTTACTAGAGAAAGAGAGGGTACATTGGCAAGCATGGATCCCAGGCAGTTTCCTTGTTCCCAAAACAGGATTGGGGGACCAGCAATGCTTGTTGCCTGAGGCCAGCGGAGGGGAGTGAGAGCACAGGAAGTCCTTCTGATACCAGTGACAAGAGCAAAGCCAGTGCTTATTAAGCGCCGCCAGTGTACCAGGGACTTGGCAGATGTTGTCTCATTTGGAAAACGAAATTTCGGAAAGTAGAAGCTTAAGGAATTAGCAATTTTGGAAAGAAGCTATAGGAAAAGAAAAAGAGAGGGAGTCTGAGAGCAGAAGTGATATTATGTGCAAAACTGGGAGGTTTGGAATGAGGATTGAAAGCCGACCGACAGTGGCCACCCCAGCACATTCAGGCCACCTGCCGCTACCACAACCAAGCAAAATAGAAATAAATCGGTTTTTTAAAAGGTGGTCTTACGGGGACCTTGGCTCGACCCCTTCCTACCAGGGGAATCGTAACTGAGTCTTTTAACCACAGAGCCTTCATACTTTCATCTGTAAAATGTAGGCTTATTTGTTTTTTAATAAGGGTTAATTAGATGATGTGTAAATGTCCTTAAATAGTAACAGATTCTAGGCTTCCCAGTAAGAGCTGAAGGAGAAGAAAGGGGAGGGGAAGAGGAGAGGAAATCACTTGTTACCTTTATTATGTTTTATTAATGTTATTCTGCCAGATAGGGCTAAGGGTCCTTTAGTAAGTAGCAAAATTAAGAGCATTAAAAAATATAAATAGAGAAAGTAAAGCAACAGGCAGACTTTCAAATTACAAAGGGGAGGTTGGGGAGATCTGTGGGAGATAAGAGATCAACTGAAGGACTTATATACATGCATATAAGTACAACCAATGGACACAAAACTCTGGGGAGGGAGGCATGTATGGGAGGGGGGGCAATGGTATACGTACAAAGATAATAATTTAATTAAAAAAAAATGAAGAGCATTTCTCTACTCTAGATTGCCCGAGTGAGCGTTTTCTTCCCTGCGCCTACTTAATTAAAAACGACCATCAGTGTTTTAATTAGACCATTGACATTTCTCAATAACTGCAAAGGGGCCTTAACTCACCACGTTGGAGGACACGCTATTACTCTAAGCGGTAACTGGCTGTGCTTCTGATATTCCTACTCCCTTGTAGAATCAGTTCCGTGGAGGAGAAGGAACGCTCCTGGGACAAATGGGGACTCGGAGACACCCTTGTTGGAAACCCAGGTCCGCCCCTCAGAGCATGTAGGAAGTGAAGCAAACTAGCAGGACCATCCAACCTCACACATCGCGGGGCGTTTGGAGGCGGGGTGGGGAAAACAGGCCGGCTCCCTAGTTAATCTCACACTTCCCCGTCCATTTCAAAAACAAGGTGTGACTCCGCAGCCCGATTTCAAAACAAAACCAAACACCCAGCACCTTCAGAAGGCTGGCTGCCAGGTACCCTAGGAACCGAACCCCCTGCCCTGCCTCAAGGAGCCTTCTCTTTCCTGGTGTCTGTTCTGGGGGACAGATCCCAACCTGCTCAGTGAAAGCAAGGCTTTAAGCTTCTGGGAGGTACTTCCTGTTCCCTAAGGCTCTGCGCTCACTGGGGCTGCTGGCCTTGGCCGTTCTGCCTGTGGGCCTTCTGCACCCTACAGACCCCGGGGGAATCGCCTACAGAGGAGAAAGGCGGAAGCTGGCATCCAGCATGTCTTCTCCTTCTCCCCCCAACAGCCCTGTGAAGTAAGGGTTTATGGTCTGCGTTTGGCATAGGAGGGCATCCACGCTCAGAGCGGTTACCCCCTTAGACCTGTTTCTGTGACAGTACACCCTCGGGCTCTGAACCCCTAGGTGGGCTTGGTGTGTGTGTGGGGGGGGGGGGGAGAGTTGAAGGAAAGAGGAGGCCTCTGGGCCCCTCTGCTCCTCTCTTCTGGCCCCTGGCCGCTGCCTCCGGGCTGCAGGCTGCCCAGGTTTGTTTTCTTTGGCTCCCCTTTAATGAGCTCCTCAGGACTATGCTAAGTCTAGTTAGGCAGCCTTAATTGGTTTAGTTGCCACGAGATAATTCCTTTTTTCTTCTCCGGGAGGCCGTTTTGCTCTGAGCCGTTTTAGCTGGAGGATGCTAATTATCAATGAGGAGAAAGTGACACCTGAGGAGTCCATCTTCCATCTTGGTCCTGCTCGCCTCTCCTTTGAACTCCCTCCCCGGCCTCTTTCCCACTTCATCACCGGCCCCCAGCATCATAAAAGCCAGCTTTGGCCGGGCAGGCGGCTGCAGAACCTCCTTTCTCTCTGGCCAGGGCGCCCCTCTCCCTGCAGCCGCCTGGCAGGCATGGACGGCCTGCGGGACACCCTCCTGGGCCTGGAGGACGGCGTGGGCCCCTCCGATGGCCAGGGCCTGCTGGCCGCCTGGGACTGGAAGAGCGGGGCCGAGCCCTTCGAGCTGAGCCAGGCCTCGCCCGCCCAGAGCCTGTCCCCGGCGCCCTCGCTGGAGTCCTACACCTCCTCTCCCTGCCCCGCCGCGGCCGGGCTGCCCCGTGGGCACGGCGGTGCCAGCAATGAGAGCCCCAACGGCTGCAGAGGCCGAGACGCGGGCGGCCTGGTGGAGGTGGACTACAACATGCTGGCTTTCCAGCCGGCCTACCTGCAGGCCGCCGGGGGCCCCAAGGCCCACAAGGGCAGCAAGGTCAGGATGTCCGTGCAGCGCAGACGCAAGGCCAGCGAGAGGGAGAAGCTCCGCATGCGGACCCTGGCTGACGCCCTGCACACCCTGCGCAACTACCTGCCGCCCGTCTACAGCCAGCGGGGCCAGCCGCTCACCAAGATCCAGACGCTCAAGTACACCATCAAGTACATCGGGGAGCTCACGGACCTGCTCAACAGTGGCAGGGAGCCCCGAGCCCAGAGCGCCTGAGCCCAAGCCCGGGGACTCCACCCGGGGACTCCACCAGGCTCCCTGGACCAGCAGCAGCACACGGGCATGTTTGTGTGGGCAGCCTGGGACCTTGCTGTGGGGAGAGTCTTCAGGGGAGGCCCACTGGGCTTGATGGAACAGCCGGAGAAGCAGGTCCTTTGCTTCCAGTTCCCTCAGGATGTCTCAGGAGGCTGGCCCTTTGCAAAGACACGGATTCATCTGCCTTTCTCTGTTCCCGTTCCTTTCAAGGTTCCATGACTTTAAGAAAAGCTCTGTGAGATGGTTACAGCTCATCTTGTCTTGTCACGCTGGCGTGGGGGGCTTTCTTCCGTGGCCAAGGAGACCTGTATTCTGTACAGGATCCAGGGTGATACCTGGATTCCGATTTAGAAGGTTCTGTGTCAGGGAAAGGGCTCAACGCGCGCGCGCGAGCATGTATATGTGTGTGTGTGTGTGTGTGTGTGTGTGTGTGTGACTGGAACCCTGCCTTTACCTGCACAAGGACCCCAAATCCCTTACATGCAGCAGAGATGAGTGTCATGGGAAACAGACAGTCAGGGACAGACAGGCTGTGCTAAGACAGTGAGGAACCTAGGGCCAGCGCCTGCGGTCTTAAGGGAAGGGAAAGAAGGCTGCCAGCGAGCAAGGTTAGTGCAGGGAACAGGACGGGTAGGGTAGGGGAGGAGGAGAGGGAGGACTCAGTGCTGCGAGGTGGGCCTGGGCTCGGAGGGCAGGAGGGTCCTGTGCTTGGCCTCCTGGGAATATGACCTCTCTGGATCCCGTCACTCACTTATTTCTCAAGTGAAGAGAATGATTCCAAAAGGAAACCAGACTATTTTGATTGTGTAGTAAAGTGCCAGGGGCAGGATCAGAACCCTAGTCTACCTCAAATCCCTGCAAAGGTATTTATTTCTTCACCAGAGCATCAGCCCCTCCTCCCTAACCCCAAATCACCCCACATGCACCCACACACCCCCTTCACTGTGCCTCCTCGGAGGGGGTGACCACAGTGCCCTCAGCTTGGCTAATTTGATGGTACGTGGCATCACCAAGGAGCTTTGCGTTAAGGAGGCTCTCAGGAGAGGTAAGCGTTAGGCTGAATAGTCCCCTCCTCTGATTAGTAAGCATTTATAGTTGTTGCTCAATGTTTATGGCTCCTGTGTTTTTTTCTATTGGTGATTTTTTCTTTTTTAGCAACAAACTACAAAGGCAGTAGAGGTGTTCACAATTTTATGTAGAGTCCACTTTTTCCTTTTCATGCAAATAAATGTAGGCATGCATACATTTTTAAAGACTCCCTTTAATTCTACAAATTGCTTCTTCTTTTTTTTTTTTTTAAACTTGGGACATATAGCCAAAGACCTCCCAAGTTAACACACATAAACCTGTAACGTGAGGGCCATTATTACCTTCATCCTACGGAGGAGGAAACGGAAGCGCAGACTTGCCCTGCGACCCACGTGTGAACAAGTAGAGGATGCAGAAGGTCAACAATGTGCCACAGCATTCTTTGTGTAATGAATCACCGGGTGAATGATATTTAGGTTGTCTTCAGTTTCTTTTTAATTACAGTGCCTTAACAGACATCCCAGACAACTAACTAGCTTTTTACACTGGTATTTTAATTAGTCCTAATAATTCACAGAAATGGAATTCCTGCATCAGGGTGTGTGTACATGTTAAAGCTGAATAAATGTTCCTTAGATGACTTTTACGAAGTTTGTAATTATTCACACTTGCCCTAACATTATGGGCCAGAACCAGCTGCTGGATATTACCAATCTTTTGAACTGTTTTAATGGATAGGAAATAGGTATGTCGTTGTGTTAATTTTAATTTCCCTATGAACTATTTGAGATGGTGCGGCTTTAAAAATTTTACGTTACTGTTGTTCACTTTGGTTCTTTTTTATAACTTGCCATTTTATGTTCTTTGTCATTTCTCTATTGCTTATTTATCGTCATTAATAATTTGGGAGGGTTCTTAGTATATGATATGTGATACAAATATTTGCTCTCAATCTATCGTTTTGTTACCATTCTTATATTTTATATTTGACTTTGAGCATGAGATCTTTTCCTCTTTTAAGTTTTGCATTTTATATGATCAAATATCTCCTTTTTATGGCTTATATGTGTGGGTTTTTTTTTTTCCACTTTGCCTAATTTTTCCCTGTTCCAAGGCTATCTAAATGTTTAGGTTTAAATGTATGTTTTTGTAACTATTTATCTATAGCTCTTTAACATACCTGCAATTTATTTTTTATGTTTTTGTGCATAGAAGGAATCTAACTTTATTTCTGATTAGTGTTTTTATAACTGAGAAATATCTTGCCATTGGCGAGGGATGGGGGGGGGCAGGTGATAGGCACATTTGCTAAAATGTTATTTTGTACGTACAAACTTCATCAACTTCTCTACATTTGCCGGCGGCATTTTAGAGAAGACACTGGAAAATGTTGGATAATATCAAAGTTTTCCATAAGGGCCTCTAGCCTGTGTATGTATAGATGTTCATGTGAGAGTATATGTACACATATGTATATGTGTGTGTGTGTGTGTGTTACTCTATTTGTTGGGGGAGGAGGGTTAGAAAGGTGAGTGTGATATGGGGAAGGGTGTGTCTAGCCTTTGATTGGCTTTTAGATCCATTGTCATTTTTCTTGCCATGCTCTTGACTTTCGATATTTTTTTTCTTCAAGTTCAAGCAGTAAGAATGGGTTATAAATAGCAATTGTGGCCAGTTTAGGTTGCCTTCTGAATTCTGTGAATGGGTTAGGAGATGCTATCCTCACTTTCAGACAACCCCGAAAGCCACAGACTCCCTACTGGCTGGGCTCCCAAGGTGCCAGCTGAGGGGAGTCCTCTGGAAAGGCAGGAGAAGGTGACAGCTTCCTGGCAGGAGGCCTCTGGCGCGGGCCTGGCTGCACTCCGCACAGCTGCAGGCCTCCCCACATTGCATGGGCACCCCCAGCCCGCGGTGGGGAGAGGCAGCTGCCCATCAGCCTCTGACTGCAGCAGTCCTGCATGAGCCTGAGATCACCTCCCTGGGGAGAGGAGAGCGAGAGCGGCTCCCTGATTTCTCTGGGGAGCACTGAAAAGCAGCAGCTGGCCTGGGCCCAGCTCAGGGATGGGAATAAATCACTTTGGGTGCTTAGATAGGAACTGCAATTTGTGAGTCCAGTGTGCTGTGCTGGGAATTTTCACATTTTTAATTTCACACTGTCCTCCAAACAGTCCCAGGCCGGGGGCATTATCAGTTCCATTTGAGGAAAGGGAAGCAGGGCAAAGCCACGTGATCAGGAGTGGTGCGTGGGGGAAGACTTGGCTAGTGAGTTAGGCTCCAACTCCAAAGCTCAGGCCCCTCCTGTGGAATCCTGCTGTGCTGCCCTCTCTTCCAGGGGCTCCCAGGCCCCCCTGCCCCTGCTCTGGGCAACAGGAAAGCAAATCCTCACTCCCCACTTCCCCAGAGCAAATCTTCACTCCCCACTTCTCCGCCTTTTCTCTGCATCTCCCTCCCTGGGGTCCGGGCTCCTTTCACCACCTGAAGGCTTTCAGAAGGGGCTCTTCATCTTGTCATTTAAATCATTTCCCTTTGAACTTCCACCTCCATCCCAAACCTTTCCAGAACTTCCCTTCCCTTCCTTCCTGGCGCCCAGAGTCCTTCCTGACCCACAGAGGAAACCTGACGTCTGTCCGTTGGTGCTCAATAAAGTTTACCCAATTCACACCGGGCTGAGGTTCCTTTGTTCTCGCAGCTCCTGCCACATTAGCTGAATGGGAGAGAGGCCCAAGCAGGGGTGGGGAGAGAGATGCTTTGCGAACTAACAAGTCAACAGAATTACCCTTATTGTTCTTCCTTAAGGTCAATTTTAAAAAACAACAGCAGGAGTCGATGCCTATGTAGGTGAGTTTTGGTGTTGCTGTTTTGGAGGTCCTATTACCATGGTCTGGTAGGTTCTGTGCCTGCACCAATGCCCGTGCATGCTCCAGGCTGCGGGAAGGAGCCTGGGCCTGGCTCTGACTCCTGTGGCCTCTGCCCATGCAGGCTCCACTAGGACCAGCTGGCACATGCCTCTTGTCCTCCTGGGTTGCCAATGAAATGTTGAAGCTAATGCAGTGCCTCTTAGAACACTCAGATCTTGCTCCTTGGGTTCTAGAAAGGCCCTGGAACTCAGAGGAGGAAGAAAGCAAGAGACATTTCAGGAGGGGGGGGAGGAAGAGGAGGAGGGCAGTGGGGAAAGGACAGTTCTTTCTCTGTCCCCTGGGTTGGAAAACTATTGACTTCCCTCCCTCAGCAGTCTCCCCTGAAGCTATGAATGAACTCTGTTTGTCTTCATTAAGTTAGTGGGGAGGCAGGCAGGGCTGGAGGCCGGGGCCCTGTAGGAGGGAGGAGAGTTGGGGAAGAAGCAGTGCTCTGGGCCATTCCCAGGCCAGTCAGCAGCAGATGTGGATGGATTCATTATCCGTGTCAGGCTCAGTGCCAAGGGCTCGCTATACTCTTTCTCCTTTCATCTTGACAATAGAGATGGCTATTATTAGCCCATTTTGTAAATAAAGAGGCACACAGAGGCCAAGGTCACCTAATTGGGGTTGGGCCCAGGAGTCTACCCAGGTCTGTTTGACTCATTCTTCCCAAAGACTCTGGTCTCCGAGCCAGAGGCAGCAGTGACTAAGACAAGGGCCGAGAGGTCTCTGCATTCAAGCCTCGCCCACCAGTCTGTGTTTTTGCTCTGTCTTTGCAGTGTCCAAACAATGCATCAGCATTGCTGGAGGTCAGGGCAGGTGCTAACTGGTGACACCATTCCTACTCCTGTCCTGTTGGAACATGATCTCTTTCTCTTTCTCAAAACAGAATTTTTAAAACACAATGCGGAAGTTTTGTAACAACTTTGGGGCCTTTGTATGTCTCCAAAGACATATAAATCTGACTTCAGAAGCACCTGCTCTCAGGGACTACAGCTGCATACCTTTTTCCTCAGTTTCTTTTAGGTACAAAGT